GCCAGGATTGCCGGGACTTTGCTGGGGCCTTGCTGGGGTACTTTTCGACCGAGGACCCCTCAGGGGCCGCCACGCGCGCGAAAACTAGAAACAGTCTTAAATTATTAGCGGAGATTTTAACCCGCCTTTGGCCCATTGGGGATTGGCGAATTATGTGTTGCGATCGGCTGCTGTTGGCAATAACCCGTGACGCGATGCAATGACCATGCTTTGATAAGATACGGTTGCCAGTGATATGCCAACCTGTCCAAGGCATGGTAGAACATTCCGCAACACGACATGCAATGGGAATAAAGTCAGCCCGCATAGTAAGCATGGTCACCCTTCCCAAGGGTATCCTTGCATCCTTGCCTCCTCGGTCCATCCTTGGCCACTTTCGCTGGCCGCGCCCCGCGCTCAAGGTGTCGGCATGGCCTTCCGAGGCCCTTGCATCCTTACCGCGCATCCTTATGACACGGGCAGGCTGTATATAGTACGCGCGACGAGCCAACGCCCGTGCCGCGAGGAACTCGACAACGGCAGCCGAGCTGCGCGTGCCTTCACAAGACAGGCAAGAGCCCCCCGGGCAGTCCCAAGCGGGAAAGCGTGCGCAGGCCAGGGCCCGTGGCACTCTGGCTCAGGCGGCCGTGGCCGGCAGGGCGCGGCCAGCGGCGACCCCCTCCGCTTGCGCGGAGGGGGGCCAGGGCGGGGGGGGAGGGGGGGCGTCGGAGGGAGGATCGCCGACACCGCCACCAGCAGGCTAGCTCATCTAGGAGGCGATCGCAGGCATGGATCCAGGGGGCGTGGATTCGCGACGGGCCCCGTCTCCGCGGGAACTCGCGGGCTCCCGCCGCCGAGCGAGGCGGCGCCGGCCGCATTCTGGGGAGGGCACCTCCCCAGATCCAGGGATCTGGCGACCGCGCGCCAGATCCATGGACCGCTAAGCCATGTTCTGCGCGCCCCCGAGTCCAGGAGGTCCACGGTGCCTCCCCCTGGGCCGGGAGCGGCCCGAGCAGGGCGTGGCAAGAGGGCCTTGGCCGCAGCACCCAGGGGGCCATCCCCTGCCTCCTCCGCGTCGGCGGTGGTGGTTCAAGCAGTGGCGAAGCGTCCTGGCTCGCCTGCAGGCCTACCAACCAATGTTCTAAGAACCTTTCGAGGTTTGCACGACATGTTCTTAGAGCATGTCTGGCTCAGCCTGTCTTGTTTTGACACATCGGGTTTATGTTATAAGAACATGTTTTTGTCATTCGAACATGTCTGGGTCCTAGGAACATTTCGTGGTAGGGCTCTAGGAATGCCGGGTCGCCTGCTCAAGTGGTGTCGCCTGTCTCTGGCTCCTGCAGTTCGACCAGGTCATGAGGATGACAGGGTGCAGATCCTGCGGTTCCAAGAGGGTCCCCAGGGAGGGGGACTTTTGAGACGGGCGATGCCGATGTCTCAAGCCGCTCAGCGTCGCCCACAGGGTCGCCGCATGACGCTTTCACTCGCAGTGTTCGAAGTCTCGAATGCAACGCCGCGGTCTCAGAAGTCCCTTTCGCTGGCGCCCCTGTAGGGAACGTATCAGCATAGCCTTGGACGCCGAAGTTGAAGTCGAAGGTGGAAGCCAGTGGCACATGGCTGAGGGCCAGGATGGGCCGACAGAGCGAACACGGAGATTGGAGACAGGCAAACAGCAACACAACCACAACACATCGGCAAGAAACGATAGTCGAGCATCGATTGACGGTCAGTGCCCTTTTGGCCAGCTACTCATCCTTATGACGCTGTTTGACTGTAGGGGGGGGGCTCAGCCGCCGTCCGCGCGGCTCCATGAAGTTCAAGGCTCGAGGAAGTCGAAACTTACGCATGAACATACGCGTCCGGAGGGCCGCGAGGTGTCCTCGGCTCGGCGTTGACCACCCGTCCCTCCCTGGCGCGCGGAGCGCGCCAGGGGCGGCGCAGGGGGCGTGCGGCACCGCTCCGAGAAATCCGCGCGGAGTTCCGAATACGTCAGTTTGTGCCGTGGTAGGGCAGCGAGATCTGTGCGTGCCCCCCCCCCCTGGGCCAGGGGCCAGGGAGCGGTGCACGGTGGGCCTCCCTGGCCGAGCCAGCCGGGAGGGCGCCCACACGGCGCTCCCGGGCCCAGGATGGGCCATGCCTCGGACAGTGGAATGAGCGATGATTCTGATTCTCAGGAGTGTGTCTTTAGATCCTCTGGGCCATAACGCGCGTTATGTCCCCCCTCCTCCCCCCCCCCAGAACGTAACGCTCCCCCCTCCCCATAAGGCGCTTCCGACACTGCCATTCTGGTGCTCGCAGGCTATTGCGGGGCTTGCAGGCTCCTTTCTTGTTCACGGTCACGTGTGGCGTTGACAGGCTCATTGCCCGTGCTCGTTTTTCTTTTTTGCGTCGCTCACATGTCCTGAGGACATGCGAGCGACGCTAAAAAAACGAGGTCATCGGCGCCGACATTGGCGCGTGAGCTGCCCGCGTGAGGTCGCGCGAAAAAGCGCCCTCGTTCCCAGTGCGGCGTGCCGCGCCAGCGGCCCGCGCAAACCGCCGCGTAAGGTCGCTGTGCCACCTCGCGTAAGACCCTTTTTTATCGCCGCTCGTGTGTTCGCCCGAGCTTGTGTGTTGCCATGTTCGGCTGTGCCGACGGCGCGCGGCCTGTGGCCTGCGTCGCATTGGAGGGCCTCGGTGGACAAGCACACGATGTCGCTGACAGACGTTCTGATCGGCGGCCAGCGAGGGGGGGAAGTGAGAAGGGGAAGGCCTTGTCAGACGGCGGCGGGACTGCTCAGAAGCCCTCGCACCTTCTGACAAGCTTTCTGCGTCTTCGGTGAATACCACGAGAATCCTTCAGATGGCCGGGGGGGGGCTTCCGAACACTCTGAGAAGGCCCGCCCCTCATCGCTTCCCCCCTCTCTCGCCGCCGAACACGTCCTGAGGATCTTCGACACATGTGGATTCCGCGTGGTTTGGGGGTCATAGACCGGCTCTCCAGCGGCCGTGCGGGACGATCCGGACCCCACCGGTCGTTTCTCGGCGAGGGGCAGCTGGCGAAACGTATCCTGGGGCGGGAAAGCCGACAGGAGTCGACGAAAGCCCAGAGTTATCCCCAGCGATTGGGGGTTGACGCGGTCCCACCCCCCAGAGGCAACGAGGTTGTGTGGTCCTTGATGGGAGCCTCAGGGGAACCCAAAATCCCTTGCGGTTTTCGGTGTTTCGCTCGGATTTCGTGGATTTGGTTGACGTTTTGGCGAAATCTGGATGGAAAGGGTTAAGGGGGGTGGTCGAAATCTTGACGAAATCTAGCCGAAATCAGGTCTGTGATAGGTCCACAGGCCCACACGAAGGCTCACCCAACAGCATCATCTAACCGATCCCCGGACATGGTCGCGTCGTAATGAATCGGGAGCCTTGAGACGGGGGTCAGTGCAAACGGGGGTCAGCCAGAGCGCCGGATCTTGCAGGATCCTGCAGGGACAGGGTCGTAATGACCCGGGCCTGGGTGCAGGATCCTGCAGGATTTCGTAGGACCCTTCGCGTTGATCCGGGTTTGGGTGCAGGATCGTGCAGGATTCTGCAAGGCCTGACTGACCGGGGTTTGGATTGACCCGGGTCAGGATATCCCCGAGGCCCATCGGGGTCCCCCGACCGCCGAACACAGTGCGACGGCACAGCGTCTTGCGCGCTTGCGTTTGCTCGCCCAGCGGCCCCCCAGAAAGCCGCGCACCAGAGGTCGCTCTTGCCCAGGGTCAATTCAGTATCGTTTATCCGACCCCCATCCTCATCCCCTTCGAGACCCCCACCAGATTACCCCCCCAGATGGGGATACGCCCCTCGAGACCCAAAGAATGCGGCCTACATCCCCATCTAGGGGGTAAAACCGGCCAGTGGGGCCCAAGCCACGCCGCGGTTAAACGATACTCACAGGGTCACTCCTGCCCAGGGTCACCCCTCGCCCCGGCGAGGCGTCGCCGAGTCCAGCTCGAAGTCGGGCCTGGCCCTCTGCAGGCAGAATATTCAAACATACTAAAACAATAGTCTGGGGGCAACTTTTGTTTCTATATGGTTTTTGTGAGCGTTTGGGGGGCATTTGTGGATCATTTCTAAGCTTTCGTCCAAAATCCGCCTGTAGGGGGACACGCCCGACTTAATTCCACCTCGGGGTATCCCAGGCGGTCCTCGCCGAAACTCTAGAGAGCCGCCGGATCTCAGAGATTTGCGATGTATCCCCACCCGATGTTTGCTTCGTCCTGGCTTGGTCTCACAAGAGTGCCAAAGGTACCCCTGGCCCAAGATGCCCCTCGCTTTTCGTTCTATCGTGGGTCCCTGGTAGGGCCTCGGAAATCCTGGGGGCACCTGAGCGACGCAAAAAAGCGGTGTCGTCTGCGCCGACATTGGCGCGTAAGTTGCCCGCGTAAGGTCGCGCGCAAGTGCCCTCGCTTCAAATGTGGCGTGTCGCGCGGGCGTCCTGCGTAAGCACCGCGCAAGGTCGCCACGTCATCTCGCGTAAGTCCCGTTTTTGAGCATCGCTCACCTTGGGTCAGGGGCACTTCCGCCAGCACCCGACAAAACTATGGGGAAATCAAAAGGTACCGATACCGCTACCCCCCAGACCTCCCCCAGGGTGCGTTCGGACCAGAACTTCGAGGCAAATCCAGCGGTGGCGACGATGGCCTCCCGGGAGGCCCCCAGAAAGGGAAAACGGCCGAAGGGCAGCGGTATGGGTAATTACCTGTTTCTTTCCTTCTTCTCTGAAACTATAGGCGGTCCTCGCCGGCGACATCGGCGGCCAGATCCCCACGCAGGTCTTCCACGTGTTGCAGGCGCTGCACCGCCTGGAGCGCGCCCTGGAGCGGAGCGCCGCCGAGCGGCGCGGCGCCCCGCCCCCGAGCGTGGTGCTGCGGCTGTCCGCGGATGCCCTGGCGATCTGCCACCGCGGAGGGGTCGACGAGGTCGGGGCTCGTGTTGAGTCCTCCGCTTCGATTCGATTCGATGTTTCGATGGCCTCCGATTCCGATCCGATTCGACCTCGGACTCCGATCTGGGCTCCGATTTTTTGTGGTGGAGGCCTATACTAAACTGCCGATTTCGGCCGATTCGATTTTTCGCGATTCGGCTGCCGAGTTCCGCCGATTCGATTGGTTTCGATCGCCGATCCGACTTCTCGATTCGATTCTGGGCTCTCCTGCGAGGTCGGAGAATCGAAGATCGGCGACGCAACGGGCGATACACGGTACACAACAAGCGTTTTCGCCCTCGGGGGCGCCTGTCCCAGGGCGGCTGGAGAGAGTTTATACTCCTGCGGTGGCACATCAGGGTAGAGATTTTCCAGCCGCCCTGGGAAAGGTGACCCGGGTGACGGGAGAGTTTATGTTCTACCGTTCTTCGCCCGTTCATCGAAGACCCCAGGCCTCTTTGCGTTGTGAACAAACACACGGCGGGATCATTTGTCGCTGTCTTCGGCCTCCGGGGGGGCCCTTTCTGGGGCCCCACGGACCGTCGACAAAGCGACTCGGGATGAAAAACCGGTCCCGGGGAAGGGGTCCAGACCTCCTAGGGTTCGACGTGGCGTCGGGGGTCTGGGATTGGCGGCCAGCGCAGGAGGGAATGGGAGGGGGCGGGCCCTCTCAGAGAGCTCGGAAGGCCTCGGGCCTCCTGAGAAGTTGTTTGGAAGCATGCCCCGAAAGTGCAGGAGACGTCTCAGAAGCCCCGCCGCCTTCTTGAGAAGACCTCCTCCTCCTAACTTCTCCCCCTCGCTCGCCGCCGGGAGGAGGAACAAACTGCACAAGCAGAAGTTTTCGACGGTCCGCGCGGACGTCTTGGATCTGCGCTGGACCCATCCGCGCGGAGTTTCGATTGTTTCTGCGTATGCCATTGCTTCGTCCTCTGAAGAACAGATCGGCGGCGAGATTCGAACCCTACCCTCGCCGATCAACGAGTCAGGCAACTCGATGGGCGGCGGGGGTATGCGTTCCGGATGTCGCCACCTGGTACACAGGATTTCTGATTTCTCGGAGGTCCGCGCGGATGTCTTGGATGGGCGCTGGGCCCTCATGGCGGCGCCTCTGGCGCCAATCCAAGGAATCCGCGCGGACCTCCGAACAATTGTACATATGTCGGTATCGTTCAACCAATCCACATCCCCATCCCCATCCCCTTCGAAACCCTCACCAACCTACCACCCCAGTGAGGGATACACCCCTCGAAACTCGACGGGAGCGGCCGATATTCCCATCCAGGGGGGCAAATCGTCCAGTGGGGCCCAGGGCACGCCGCTGGGGATGGGGATCGGTTGAACGATACTCAATCTGACGTTCTTGTCGTCCACGAGGGGATGCAGACCTGGAGCCACTTCTCGGAGGAGGGGCCTCGGTCGGGGCGGCGGCGGCCCTGCCACCCGGCGCTGCCCGGCCTGCTGGGGACGAGCCCGTCGCAGCGAGTCGTTCGGAGGTGGACAGACCTCCTGCCCCGACACGTCGATGAAGGGATTGGCCGTTTTCGGTTCGCGAGAGGGCGTCGCGGCCGTCACTTCTGCGAGTCCAGGTCCGTCGGTTTCGGTCCCAGGCCGTTTTCGCGAAGGGGAGGTTTACCAAAGGGAGGTTTGTCCACCGCCGAGTCATGGCACGAGCCACGAGTGCCCTTGGAAGACCAGCTCACGCATCCATCGGGATGCATGGCCATCCTGCCTGCTTTTAACAGGCGCAGGCTGCTGTGCCACAATGGGTTTCGCCGTCGGGGACGCCTGTGCCAGGGCGGCTGGAGAGTTTGCGCCTCTAGGGTGGCACGTCAGGGAAAAACTGTCCAGCCGCCCGCCTGCAAAATTGCCCATCGGTCGCTGAAAGGAAGTATTCGTGGATCCCCAGAGTCCAACCTACTTTAGGCGCCCTCCTGCTTCAATGATCTAGTGGCTTCACCCTTTCCGTGCGGAAGCCCAATCTATCTTCAACGCCCTCCCAATTCAAGTTTCTACCTACTTCCGACCGATTGGTATGGACCCCGTGAGGGGTCGGGGGGCCGACTTGGCGCGGAGATGGAGCTGGCGGGACCGCCGCCGCTGCCTCAGCCGGTCCTCCTCCGGCCCTCGAGCCGAAGAAGCTCTTCTGCGAGTACCGTTGCGAGTCGAAGCGACAAAACAGGATAGACCTGGAGGCGCCCATCTCAGGGGCGACGATCAGGAGGGGGCAGGGGAGGAGGAGGAGGAGGAGGAGGAGGAGGAGGAGGAGGAGGAGGAGGAGGAGGAGGAGGAGGAGAGGAGGAGGGGGAGGAGGAGGAGGGAGGAGGAGGAGGAGGAGGAGGGGGAAGGAGGAGTTGGAGGAGGAGGAGGAGGAGGAGGAGGAGGAGGAGGAGGAGGAGGAGGAGTTAGGTGGGGGTGCATCGACCCACCCTCAATCACCCCTTCCTCGCCGATGTGTTCCCGACAGCCCCGACCTGCTCGGGAGCGTGCGCATGTGCTATCGGGGGCCTGTCGCCGATCTCTCGGCGTTGTGTCGCCAATTCTGGGTCTGGGTTTCCCCCCCTATAGCCAGTGCCCCCCTATCGTTGCCCCTCGCCATCGCTAATCTCGTCCGCGTGTTCCACAGCTGCGCCTCCAGCGACCGGACGGTGCTGAAGCTGGCGAACGGCCGCGACGGCCGCCCGATCCTGGGCTTCGAGTTCACCCTGGCCGGCAACGCCGCGGACCACAGGGTCGAGCAGGAGGTGCCTGTGCGCGTTGTCCCAGAGGCTGAGGCAGAGGCCATGAGGGAGCCGGTCCTGCCGGAGCCAGAGTACCAGATAGAGCTGCCGCCGAACCTCGGCAGACTCAAGAACGTTCTGGACAAGATGCGCCAGGCCTCGAGAGACGACAAACCGGTACAAGTATAGGCTTTTGGAGCTCCGCGCCGATCCCGCTGGGCCCCCTTCCTAGCGCGAGGAGCGCGCCAGAAGCGGCGCCAGAGGCGCCTCTAGGGGGCCCAGCGCTGATCCAGGCAGGAAATCCGCGTAGATCTCCGGAAGTTCCCATTCACCCACTACGAGCACCAGGTGGTCTGGGACGGTCGCGCATCTTATATCAGGCTACCATCCGAGAGCCTTGCCGTAGCAGCAGAACAATAACACGATAGTCGAGGTGTTGACGTATTGCGATAGGGATTAACCTACTGACCTCGCGGTGAAGGTGCTTGCCACAGCAAGCGCGACGGCAAAGCGCGTCTGTCTCCAAGTTCCCCCACCTGGATTGCCAGGGCCCCCGTTCTTGTGGCAAAGGTGCAGACCCCCCGGGAAAATCACAGCTCATGCGGAGCTTTTTCCCCCTCCCAGGTCGGCGCGCACCACGTCTTCCTCGAGGCCGCCCAGGAGACCGCCTCCGCGGTCGCCTCCGCGGGCGCCTCCAGCGGCAGGGCGTGGCTGCGCCTTGCCGCCGAGGCGGAGCTGGTGACTGTCGTCTCCAAGTTCCCGTCGCTGGTGCTGGTGACGATCGGGGGGGAGCAGCTGGGCAGATCCAGCCAGTTCCTCGCTTTCTCCTCCCGTCTGGCGGCCGCAAACACGGACTGACGGTGCGTGGATTCGCGGCGGGTCCCGTTTCCAGAGGAAAGCGCGGAGTTCCGCCGCCGAGCGAGGCGCCACCGGCCGTATGTTGGTGAGGGCAGCTCCCCCGATCCATAGATTTGGAGACCGCGCGCCAAGTCCATGGGTCGCCAATCCATGTTGGCGCGCCCTCTCCTCCCAGGAGAGGGGGGAAGCGAGCAGTGGAGCAGGGGGGCTGCACCGACTGCAGGATACAGGATGCGCCCCGCGCCCGTGCCCAGGAGGGTGTCGGGCTCGCTCGTGCATGTCCTGCATCCTGTATCTCCCCCCTCCCAGGAAGTGGGCAGGCGAGCAGTGGAGGAGGAAGAAGGGGAGGGAGATGGACCTGGAGCGAGCAGCGGGGGGAAGGGAGGGGGGGTGGGCAAGCGAGCAGCGGGGGAGGAGGGAGCAGTGGAGAGGGGGGAGGGGGGGAGGGAAGGGAGGGAGAGGGAGAGGGGAGCAGTGGAGGAGGGGGGAGGAGGGGGAGGGGATGGCTGCTCGGCCCCCCACCAGGTGATGGAGGGCAAGAAGGTGCCCTCGCCCGCGGGGCCCGTCGGCCTGCTGCTGTCGCTCCGCCGCCTGGCGGAGGTCCTGGCCGCCTTCCAGCAGGTGCGGTGGGTCTGTTTTCCACCACCGCCACCAGAAGTTGAAAGGGGGAGGAGAAGGAGGACGAGAAGGAGGAGGAAGACGTAGAGGAGGAGAAGGAGGAGGAGGAGCATGAGGAGGAGGACGAGGAGGAGGAGGAGGAGGACGGAGAGGAGGAGGAGTAGGAGGAGGAGGAGGACCCCCTCCTCCTCCAACTTATGGTGGTGGTGGTGGAAAACAAGCCCATCAAGGTGGGGGCCGAGGCGCACATTGCCTGCGTGCTGGAGGGGAGGGCCCTGGTGCTCTACGCGGTGCTGCCGGGCAGCATGGGGTCTCTCATCCTCGGAGGGGAGCCGGCCGAGGCGGCGGCGGCCCTGCCCGAAGGCTCGTCGTCGCCACGGCCAGGGGCCGGGCCCGCCTCGAAGAGCGGGAGGGGTCTGGGTGGACTCCGGGAGGGGTCCAGGGGCCGCTGCGGGGCGGGCGTTGGCTGGGCGCGGGCGCCGCCGTGGCCTCCTGCGGGCCTTCCTCCGATGCTTGTGGGGGGCAGAAACAGCAGCTGCACCACGAGCACGTGCTCTCGGAGGTCCGCGCGCGCGCGTCTTGGGCCGGGCGCCGGGCCCCCTTGCCCCCGCCCTCCGCGTGGGGTGGGGGGGGGGGGGGGGGAAGCCCGCCGCCGACGCGAGGAGCCTGGGCGGGCCTCCGAGTGCTGCGGAGTGCCGCAGGGTTGGAGGCAGCCGTGGGGCCGAGGTGGCCCAGCATTGGTGCCAGCCAGCAGAAGGGGGGGGGGGGGGAAGACGGGGGCGCCGTCGTTGGCACGGCTGGGCGCGGCTCAAAAGATCTGTGGGTCTCGAGCCTGCGAGGGCTCTATGGGCCGATTCTCTCGGGGCCCACCCAGCGCAGACTGCTGGGCCGCTTCCAACCGGAGGTGCGACCCAAGAGGTCCCTGGCGCGTTGTGCCATTTTGGAGCCCTTGGGCCTCCCTTGGAGATCTCCTGGGGAAGCCCCTGCCCAGGGACACGTCCAGCAATGCCCGAGCGAACGCATGATCACGCACTCCGAGTTCCTTTCATCCAGGCCTCCCAGGTGGGGTCCGAGCAATTAGATGGGACCGGAGGATCGCGCAACATCGCTGGTGCATCGGCGATGCGGCCCGATGTGGAGCCCGATATTCTCCGCGCCGATGCATCGGCGACACGGCGCGATCCTCCGACCCCATCTACTCGGAACCGAGTTGGGCGACGCTGAAGACGGGTTCGACTGCCGACATTCGCGCGTAAGTTGCCCGCGGCAGGTCCCGCGCAAGGGCGCTCGTTTCCAGCGCAGCGTCGGTTCGGGGAGGGTACCCCAGTGGTCTTCGTGCTTGTTGGGTGCTCTTGTGCGTTCTGCGGGTGGGTAGTTGCCTTCGAGTGCTCTTCATTTGGGCCCGCAGAGGGTCTCATGCTCTCGAAGGATGCTCTTCTGGCCCTGGGCCGACGGTGCACGCGTGGGGAAAGGGGGCCCCACGGGGCCCCCACGTCGGCGCGCCGCGCCGGTGGGTGCGCGCCGCGCCGGTGGGGGCGCGGCGCCTTCGGCGCGGGACGTTGCCAGCGGCAGGGTGGCGATTCGGAGGCAAGCAGTGGCGATGCGTCCTGGCTCGCCTATATCGGGGGAGCGTAAGACCCGGGTTTGCCAGGACTCGGGTTCGCCATCGTTTTTTGACGACCGCGCCTCGGATTTTGACGAGGAGGAGTTTCGTGGGATGTCTGCAGCGGGAGGCCTCGTCAAAATGCAGGCTCGGCCTCGTCATTTTTTTGACGACCTCGTCGGGGATGCCCGAGTCCCCTGTACCCAGGTCTTACGTCCCCCTGACTATAGACCTACCAAAGAATGCTCTAGGAGCCTTGGGTGGTTTCCACGGAGTGCTCTTACATAACATTTCTGGTTGGGGCTGTCCTATTTTCTCACACAGTGATTCAGTTCTGAGAACATTCTTTGGGTTCTTAGGACATTTTTGGGCTCTAAGAACATGTCGTGGAAGGCCTACAGGACTGCTGGGACGGCCGGTCCCTGCTCAAAGGAGGGGCTCTCGGCGGGGGGGGAGCGCCCCGCGGTGCTCGTCGCAGACATCCGTTGCCCTCGCGTTGGCAATGCTTGTCCGGGGGCGGAAAAGGGCAGAAGCAGAAGCTTCCGGAGCTCCGCGCGAGCTTCTGGGGTCGGCGCCTGGGTCCCACTGCGCCGACCTCCACCACGTTGAAGTCTGTGCCGTTGCCCCTTCCTCTAAATGTGGGGTTCCCGGATGTCCAGGCTCTTTTTCGCGGACGGTCGGTGTGCACCATACTGCGGTGGCGTCCCCCGAGGCATCGCCGATCCTGAACCCGGGAGTGGTACAGTGCATGTCTTGTTTGGCCCTCGGAGCCGAAGAATGATGCACCGTACCGCGCTGGAGCGGGGCCCGAAGGGAGCGCAGACATGATGCCGTGTATTGGCGCCGTTCTCGTACCTTCTTCCAGGGCCTGTTCTCCACCCTGAGGCATGTTGCTGGTGGTCCTGGGGCGTGATGAAGGTTGCCAGAGGCCGAAATTGAGGAGAACATCCGCATGCAATTTTACACTACGTCGGAGGTCTTGAATCAATCGACCCAGGGCAGTGTTTTGGCCCTTCCTCCATCTCGTACACGCCCGCCGTGGTGGTCTGAGCGGAAGGCCGGGCGGCCCTTCGCATGGGCTTCCCAGCCACCTCCTCTGCTTACTCCACTTCTTCCTCATCTTACTCCTCGTCCTCCTCCCCTGGAGGGGTAGTAGGTCACACCTGGCGCAAGACCACCTAGCTTCCCCCTCCGTTCCAGGCGGCTACGCCCAGTCCTCGACCCCTCCTTCTCCACCCTCGCCTCTCCCGCGTCGTCGTCGTCGGCGTCTTCGGCGTCGTTCGTCGTAGTCGTCGTCGTCGTCGTCCTCGTTGTCGTCGCCGTCGTCGTTGTCGTCGCCGCCGCCGCCGGTCGCCGTCGTCGTCGTCGTCGTCGTCGTCGTCGTCGTCGTCGTCGTCGTCGTCGTCGTCGTCGTCGTCGTCGCCGTCTGCCGTCGGCGTCGGCGTCGGCGTCCGCGTCCGCGTCCGCGTCGACGTCGTCGTCGTCCTCGTCCTGGTCTTCGCCCTCGTCCGCGTCCTCGTCCTCATCCTCCCCTCGTCATCCCCGTCCCTTCCCCCCCCGGCGGGCACTGGGGCCGCTCGGGCGGCGCCAGCCGGCCGCGGCGCGCGGGGGGAGCGCGAGACCGCCGGTGGGCCGCGGCGCCGACGTCGTCGTCGTCGTCGTCGTCGTCGTCGTCGTCGTCGTCGTCGTCGTCGTCGTCGTCGTCGTCGTCATCTGCGCGCGCGTGGGAACGCCGCGCGGGGGGAGAGGGGGGAGGGGCGGAGGGCGGGGGAGGAGGAGACGAGGAGGACTTAGAGGAGGAGGAAGGCAGGGGGAGAAGGAAGATGAAGGGGGAAGGGGAGGCGACGAGGAGGAGGAGGAGGGGGAGGAGGAGGAAGAGGAGTTGGAGGAGAAGGAGAAGGATGGGAGGAGGAGAAGAAGAGGAGGAGGACCAGGACGAGGAGGAGGAGGAGGAGGAGGAGGTATGGGGGGATAGTCCCAAGGGGGAGGAGGTTTGTGGGACAGGCCGAGGGACGGAGGGGAGAAGGAGAGGGAGCAGGAGAAAGAGGAGTTGGAGGAGGATGGGGAGGAAGAGAGGAGAAAGAGATTGGGGGGATAGGGGAAGGGGGGGAACGTGCCGCCCTTTCATCGTCGCCGACAGGGGCCCGATAGTCCACCCTGTCCAGGAGCGTCGGGATTCGCTATCGAGAGCCTATCGTCGATCAATCGGCGATGTATCTCCGATTCCAGGCCGATGTGCCCCCCTTCCTTCCTTGAAGAAACTCATGTTAGAACATGTTGATTGTTTCTCCTATGGGGCCCCTCTCTCCTGTGCTTGCGCCGCGATGCCGCCTCGCCGCAGGCTTTTTGTCTTGAAAGCCTGAGGTCAGGGGGGGACCTCAGGTGCAGGTGCGCCGCCTGCCGCAGGCGCGACGGCTCGGCCATGTGATGGCGGCGGCCGCCGCGGGCGGCGCCGCTGGCGGCTTCGCTGCGCTGCCCGCGGGCGCAGCTGCCGCGCTGCCCGCGCCCCCAGGAGACCGCGGAGGCAACCGCGGTCGCGGCGGTCGCGGAGACGGGCGAGGCGCCGGTGGAGCCCGTGGAGGACGCGCGGCCGCTGCACGCGGGGCTGCGGGCGGCAGGCGAGCGCGTGCGGCCGCGGCTGCTGCGGGCGCTCGAGGCCGCGGAGGTGCGGCGGCTCGGCCCCGTGGAGGTGGTCGTGGTGCAGCCGCCGCAACCGCAGCGGACGGTGCCGTCGGAGGAGCCGCGGCAGCTCCTGTCGCAGATGGCCCGCTAGGTGGAGGAGCCGCTGGCGCGGACGTGCAGGCTGGAGGTGTTCCTGGAGTACTGGCGGGTGGCTGCGGTGGACTACCCGCGGGAGTCGGAGCGGCTGCAGGCATGGTGGCAGCTGGAGGCGGAGGTCCGCCTGGGATGGCTGGCGCTGCCGGTGGAGGAGGCCCGCTGGGCGGGCTCGTGCCTCCCCCTCTAGCAGGTGGTGCGGCCGCTGTGCTCGGTGGAGCTGGCGGCGTGGCAGGACCTCCCGTTGGAGCTGTTCCTGGACTGGGAGGAGGTGCTCTCGGCGTCGGAGGTCACGGCGGCGCTGGTGCTTGGGCCCCGGCTGCTGGTGGCGTTCTCGGCGGTGGAGCCGGAGGCGTGCCCGCAGGTGCAGGAGCAACCCCAGGTGCTGGTGGCCTGCTGGGTTGGGTGCCTGCAGCTGGTGGTGGAGTCGGGCCTCCAGGAGGCTGTGGCTTCGATCTATCGGCACCGCCAGGAGGAACAGGACCCTGGGTGCACGGCCCTTCGTCGCCGATGGCGTACCAGCGGCTTGGGCTGTCGCCAGGAGGATTGCTAGAGTGCGTGACCCTGGACAGTTTCGGGAGCGCTGTCGGCACGGCGCTGTTCAGCATCCAGAGCGTGTGGCCTGGCGACGGCATGGGTGTCTTCGTGGAGGCGTCTTTCCTGGGCTGCAGCAATGCCGCATTGTGGCCGATGCTGTCGGGGAGCTTCAATCACCTTGGTGGCGCGGTGCTGCACCTGTGCACCCAGCAGGCCAACGTGCGCTCAGGGCTGGCGCAGTGGCCTCAGCGCTCCGTGTTGCACGTGGAGACCTACCGCATGCGAAGCTCCACGGGGGTGACTGAGCCGTGGGCTCAGGCGCTGCTGGCCAGTCGTGGAGCTGCTGGGGGGCAGACAGCCGCTGGCCTCCCTGGCGGATCCGTCGGAGGTGCTGGCCCGCCTGGAGCTGCCGCTGGAGGTGCCGCGGCTGGTTCGGAGCCTACCCCCGAGGAGCTGAAGAAGAAGGTAGCTGAATTGCGCCTACGCTTGCATCGCAAGCGTGGGATAGGTGAGGCCCTCGCTGAGCGTGCTGAGCAGGCTCTTGGCGGTCGTCGAGTGGGTCGTCGCGAGAGGAGGCGGACACGACGCACCGGTGACGACAGCAGCTCCGATGGCTCAGTTTCTGACGGCGCCCCCCACGTCGACCCAGGCCGCAGGATAGCTCATCTTGCCCACGCCGCTCCAGGAGCTCTCCTGTCGAGCAGAATGGATCAGATCAAGCGCTATCTTGCACGGCGTGGTGGGGCGGACACCGACAAGGGCCTGGGCGAGCTGGCGGCGACGGTGGTGCAGTGCATCACGAGCGTCTGGCACGGTCACCACCCGCAGAGCGAGATGGGGGTGAGAAATGTTCGCGAGATGCGGACTGCCGGCGAGTGTCTCGACGCGCTGCTCAGAGGAGAGTTGGATCACCTGGGCGATCTTGATGCAGAGGCTGAAGGCGATCGAGCAGGCTACCAAGGACGGCCACTGGCAGGAAGCCCAGCATCTCGAGCTGCGCGACGACCTGGGCGCGGGTCTCGCTCGCCAGGAGGAGGTGCACGACGCCGTGAGCAAGCACAGGAGGATGTTTGGCCTGGCCGAGAGCGTGGCGGAGGCCAAGAAGGGAGGTGGCGCAGGATAGGGGTCAGGCCGAGAGGGCAGCGGACAGCCTCGGGCGCCGCCCTCTCGGAGGCCATCTCCAACCCCTGGCATCCTCTCTTCAAACCCGACGACCAACAAGTCCAGCAGCATGGTGGGGCGCGTGAAGGCATCACGAAAGACGCGCTGGAGGAAGGAGCGGAGGCAGGCTGCCGCCGCGAAGAAGCAGGCTGCAGCACCAGCAGCTCGCGGAGGAGGGCAGGCGCAGCAGTCGGCCAGCCCCGCAGCTTCGCATCCTCCTGCGCCTGGCGCCCCAGGGTCACCAGCCGCCGCCGCGCGCGGCGCCGTGGGCCCTGGCCCCGATCGCCGACCGATCCTGCGCCCACCTGCTGGAAGGGAGACGCGGCCAGCGTCACCAGTGAGGCGCGTGCGCTTCGCCGATCAGGTCGAGCAAGGCGGATTGCAACAGTCACCAGCGCCGAGGAGCCGCCCAGGTTCACCTTCACCGCAGCGCAAGGGCGAGAAGGCGAAGACCACGAGCTCGGGCAAGCCGAAGTTCAAGAAAGGCAAGGGCGGCGGCAAGCCGGACAGGTGGCAGGGCCCCGGCTCCAAGGGCAAGTTGAAGGGCAAGAGCAAAGGCAAGCAGCGTGCCTAGCTCCCACAGACACGATGGTTGTTCCGTCTGAGTCTGAGAAGAATGACAATCCAACCGATGATCAGGAGTCGGAGATCTCATCCCAGAGGTCATCTAGTCTTGACTCCTTGCATGACGCGGAGCACACTGTCGCCTGTGACACGAAGGTTGTCTCCGAGAATTCATTGTCCTTGTCCGGTGCGCTGCCCAGTTCATCCGCTGAGAACTTCGGCGCCATTTTGCTGTCTCGGCTACTTCCTGCGCTGCGCCCTGGCACTGAACGCGAGTCCGCATTGCATCGTTCGAGGTCGCCGTCGCCTACCCTGGCTACCGCTACTGGGGGTGCTGGGTCTGCCTCTGAGGCGGCCCACGGCGAGACAGGCGACTCTTCACACTTGGCTTCTTTACGTACATCCACTGGCAATTCAGTCAATCAGTCATTTGGTAAAGCTGACGTTGCTCCTGAATGCGATGATATCTCACACCCGGCTTCTTCGCGCACTCCCTCGACGGCTTCGCTGGTTTCCGAATATGATGCAGTCTATGGAGATCCGCTTCCATCACCGAACGGTCGGCGAGAGCGTCAGGATCTTCTCCCGCTCCCGATCGTGTTTCCTGGTTCGGCTGCTCCTCAGCGTCGCGGAGACATTCGTGAGGACGGTCAAGAGCTGGCAATTGCGAAGCCTGAGGAGTTAGATTGGCTACATTGTATCGTGTTACGTCTCAACTTTCACTACGCTCGCGGTTGGGTCCATGCGCCTCACGGCCCTCCAAGCGCCTCTCAGCGCAAGGCCCTCAATAATATTCTCTATGAGGTCAGATTCGTTCGTGAGCAGTGCGCTGGCCTGATCCCTGACATCGACTGGGGCACCGACCTTTGCTCCGCCGCCACTTCCTACGACGGCGAGGAGGTGCCCCCTGCCGAGCCCCTCGACCGTGATCGTTTGCTCGAAGCCCTGCCTCCTCGAGAGGCGTGCGCTGCCGTGAGGGCCGTCGATGTGACAGAGGGCTGGATCAGAGCTGCCCTCTCCGATCCAGGTCTGATCCTGAAGGACGAGTCGGAGCTTGGCAGCCTGCCCCCCACTCCGAAGGTCTGGGCCTCGAACGAGGAATGGGAGCTTATCGCTGGCGACCTACTCGGGAGAGGGATTCTCAAGACGATCGAGTACGAGGACATCGTGGAGGTTCAAGGGCGAAAGTTGATGGGGGGCATGTTCGGCGTGAAGAAGGGACCCCACTTGAAGGGCGAGGGGCCGCAGCGGCTGGTGATGAACATCATCCCCTCCAACTTCATCCAGAATACTATCGAGGGCGACATGCCGATGCTGCCCCACAGCGACAAGCGGAAGAGCGTGATCCTCAGGTCTGGAGAGGTGATGCTCTGGAGTGCGGAGGATCTGAAGTGCTGCTTCTACGTGTACAGCCTCGGCGATGTGTGGCTGAAATACATGGCCATCTCAAAGCCCGCGAGGAGGTGCGCCGCTGGGCTTTCAGGCAAGGGCATGATATACCTGGCCGCCGCCGTCGCGCCCATGGGATGGATATCGGCCACCGGGGTGATTCAGCACATCCATCGTCGCCTTCTTCGAGCCCGACATCCTGAGCTACGTCAACTCTCGGCGCCGGAGGAGCTGCGCAAGGAAGGACGCCCCTATTCCTCCTGCTCGCCGAGGTGGCTCTCGCATCTCAGGAGTGGCCCCCGTCCGTGGCGAGGTCGGCCGCACTTATGATGACGACAAGCGGACGATCTACATCGGGCGCGGCTCCAGCTCACTGCAGCTTGCTCCATCAAAGTGGGGCAACCCGTTCCGCATTCGGGATGGTCTGGACAGGAGGCGGGCCATCGAGCTATTCGCAGAGCACCTGGAGAAGTCGCCCGACCTTCTGGCCGACTTATCCTCTCTGGGTGGTGTTCGGCTGCTTTGCCACTGCAAGGAGCACCAGGCCTGCCACGGCAATGTTCTGATCGCGAAGTGGTTGGAGCGCTTCAACACGCCAGCCCTCTGGAGGGCCTGGCAGGTGTACATCGACAACTTGGATGTGCTGGAGATCACCGACTGGTGGCGCGCCAAGTCCCTGCAGGAGGAGGGGATCAGCGAGGCGGTCGACCTGGCCCGTCGGAGGTATGAGCACGTCAACGTGCCAAGAAGCGAGAACAAGGCCGTCATCCGCGAGACCACGACGCAGTCCCTCGGGGAGGCGATCGATGGGGATCGCGGCACCATCGGGCCGCCCGCAGAGTTCGTGCGACGGCTGATCTCCCTCACCCTGGCGACTCTGCAAAGGCCCACAGTGACTCAGAAGTGGATGCAGATCCTGGCGGGCCGATGGGTTCGGTGCCTCCTGTTCAGCCGCGAGGCGATGATGTGCTTCACTCACTTGTGGCGATTATTGGTGAAGTTGCGTGGCGATGCGAAGGTGCCGCGTAAGGTGCGCGAGGAGCTGGCGTCGGCCGTGACGTTGCTCCCTTTACTTCGCTGTGACCTGCGCGTGCCGATCAGCGGGCTGGTGACGGTCTCGGATGCCAGCATGCAGCGTGGAGCCGTGTGTCGAGCTGTTCGCATTCGGCCTGATGGAGTGGCCGCTGCGAGAGCGGCCAGCCGAAGGCTGGTGACTGACTTCCGCGACGAGGTGGTGCTCCTGTCCTTGTTCGACGGCATTGGTGGGGCTCGCCGCGCCCTGGACCTGTTGGGGCTCACTCCCGCGCTGTTCGTGTCCGCCGAGATCGACGCCGAGGCGAAGCGAGTGACCAAGTATGCATGGCCGGACGCGCTGGAAGTCGGCGACGTCTGCTCCTTTGGGTTCGCCGAGGCGGTGGCCATCCGTGAACGAGTTCCGCATGTGAAATGGATACTAGTGGTGGCCGGTAGCCCTTGCAGCGACCTGTCCCGCATCAACGTTGAGCGTGCTGGCCTTCAAGGGAGACGCTCACGTCTGTTCTACGAGATAAACCGCATTGTGTCTCTTCTGCGCGAGGCGCTGGGTGATTTCTGCACGGCGCTGTCCCCGGTTGAGAACGTGGCCTCAATGGATTCGGAACCGCGACAGTTGATGTCACATTCCCTGGAATGCGAACCTGTGCGCATCTCAGCGGGTGATGTCACACACTGCCAGCGTGACCGCGTGCATTGGATCAAGGAGGAGCTGTTGACGCCGTGGCAGGGCGAGTCGTTTGTCATGGACTCGGCGAAGCACGTCGTGATCCCGGACGGGCCCGGTCCAGTTGAACGCTGGCTGGCCGCTGGGCTTCAGTGGCAGGGTGACGTCCAGGAGGACTTCCGCCTGCCCACCTTCCTGCGCTGTGTTCCTCGTCGTGCTCCAGGTCAATTCCCGTCGGGTCTCGACAAGTGCGCAGGTCATGAAGTCGAGCTTTGGCGCAGGTTCAACTACTGCTACGCGCCCTATCAGTTCCAGGACATCAACTGCATCGAGGAGCCTGGCGGCAGCCGAAGGCCCCCCTCGAGTGTCGAGAGAGAGCTGCTGCTCGACTTCCTTCCAGGGCACACGATCACGGCACGAGTGACTAGAGCGCGCAAGCTTGAGAAAGCTGATCTGGAGTGTTGCAGGTGCGCTCTGCTTGGGAACAGTTTTCAGTGCGTGGTTGTCGCCTGGGTGCTGGCCCACTGGGCTCAGAGAGCAGGCTACCTGACCGAGATCCCTTCCGTCAGGCAGATGCGTGAGACTGGAGGTGGCGCCACCATCGCCGATGCCACAGTCAGCATGGACCAGATAGATTGCGACGACGGTGTCTTGGTGCGCCAGCACGATCTCGAGAGTGAGGATGCCGCGCTGGACCCCAGCATCATCATCGTGGAAGAGCTGGCCCGCCGTGCCGAGGCCAGAGGCAGCGACATCAGGCTTGACACGTTCGAGGCGATGCGGCCTGATCTGTGGCCCAGGCGACCAGTCAGCGTGGCACGCTGGTCATGGACGGCCACCGCCATCTGGGACTGGAAGCACCCCTCCCACATCACGGACCTTGAGGTGAGAGCCTTTCTGGGAGCCATGCGATGGCGCTTCAGATCCTCTCAACATTTACGCACCCGCTTTTGTCATCTGATGGATTCTCAAGCTGGTCTCGGAGTCATTACCAGAGGCCGATCATCATCTCACTTGCTGCATGTTACCGTTCGACGCATTGGTGCCTTGATCTTGGCTGCTCTTGCCCGCCCCGTGCATGGCTACACGGAGACTGACCGCATGCCCGCGGATAACCCGTCGAGGGGAGCGGCTGCGGCTCCTAGTTGATTTCATGCCAGGACGAGTTCAACGCAGAGTCAGAGCAGCGCAGGATCAGGCTACGCGTCGTCAGCTTCGGGCCGCGGTGGGTCGCCTATCACGCAATCTGGCGCAGCCACGGACCCTGGAGGTATATCAGAATGCAGCGAGATTTGTTTTCCAGAGTGGGTGGCTATGGGAGCGCTTTCTTGGTCTGGAGGTGCCGTCCACATTGATCAACTGGATATGCTGGTGGCCGACTGGATCGAGTGGCTCTGGACTGAAGGGCATCCTCAGGGCTTGGCAGGGAACACTTTGTCAGCCGTCCAGTTCTTTTTGCGCAAGAAGCGCATCCTGCCAGCGTCGTGGAGGCTGCTTCGTGCTTGGCAGAGACTAGAGCTGCCGCAGCGAGTGCCTCCGATGCCTGACATCGCGTTGACGGCGCTGGCTGCCACCGCGCGTGGCTGGGGCCGCAACGACGTCGCGGCGCTGCTGGTCCTCGGCTTCGCGGCCTTCCTGAGGACCACCGAGATGCTGACCTTGCGGCGCTGGCAAGTCGCCATCGACGAGGCTCGCGCCAGAATAGTTGTAGTGCTGCCAATCACAAAAAGTGGCCTGCGATTTCATCGACAGGAGACAGTCGTGATTGAGGATGCCTCGGTGACACAGCTGATATCGTATTTATTACGACATGTTCCGTCAGACCAACCGATACTGCCATCTTCAATTGGTGATTTCAGACGTATATTTGAGCAGCTGTGTGCTGCTATCGGTTGCCAGCAATTTCAATTCAAGCCATGCAGTTTAAGAAGAGGGGGGGCACACCGTTCTTCCGTCGCACTCGTAATATGCCTGCCACTCTAGAGAGAGGGCGTTGGCAAGACACGGCGACGGCTCGTATATACCTCACAGAAGGCCAGCAGGCTCTTTCAGAATTGCGCGGTTCGCAATCAACCCTCGAAAGATGGAGGTTTCTTGGGAGCTTGCTGGCCTACGATGTGGCCTCCCCCACTGCGGTGGTTTCAAGGCGGTGAACCAGGTAGGGAGACGTGGAAGAGCTCTTGGGTCCTCTCGGCCTCGTCTTGCCTCACCGTGGCGCCCGGGTTTTCCTGGTGGCCGCTGGCGGCCGTTTCGAGGGGCCCTGGTTTTCCGCGGAGGAGTCCTGGGGCCATAGGCCTCGTTCGGCCTGACCTCGCCCTGGGAGAAGCTCGGCCGCGCGGTGCTGGCGGCGCTGGCGAGAGGCAACACGGGGCGGTGAGTTCAATGGGGCTCAGCCGCCCCGCTGGTGGGCCCGCGAGGCCCCGCTCGACAATACCCTGGTGGAAGCGGCGTGGCACAAAACAAGAGGGGATCCCAAATAGTAAGAGAAACAGAAACTCATGTTAGAACATGTTGATTGTTTCTGCTATGGGGCCCCTCTCTCCTGTGCTTGCGCCGCGATGCCGCCTCGCCGCAGGCTTTTTGTCTCCCACCCTCGGGCCACCCTTTTGAGACGGAAGAGCTCTTGGGTCCTCTCGGCCTCGTCTTGCCTCATCGTGGCGCCCGGGTTTTCCTGGTGGCCGCTGGCGGCCGTTTCGAGGGGCCCTGGTTTTCCGCGGAGGAGTCCTGGGGCCATAGGCCTCGTTCGGCCTGACCTCGCCCTGGGAGAAGCTCGGCCGCGCGGTGCTGGCGGCGCTGGCGAGAGGCAACACGGGGCGGTGAGTTCAATGGGGCTCAGCCGCCCCGCTGGTGGGCCCGCGAGGCCCCGCTCGACAATACCCTGGTGGAAGCGGCGTGGCACAAAACAAGAGGGGATCCCAAATAGTAAGAGAAACATCCATCCCCCTGGGAGGAAGAGTCGGAGGAAACAGGGGGAAGGGGTGGACGGAGGGCTGGAGGACGAGGAGGAGGGGGGGACAGGAGGAGGAAGAGGACCAGATTAAACGCAGGCTGCAACAACGCTGCAACAACAGGATGGGATGGGGACGGGGGAGAGCGGATGGGGGGGGAGCACCGACCTACCGAGAAATGCGTCCAGGTAACCCGAACACCCTCCGTAATTGGTGAGAACATCACCCTCTTATTTGGTACGGTGCCGGCATGGGTCGCAGGAGGGGAGGAGTGGACGGGGAGGGCGGTAGGCTAGGAGAAGGAGGGACTTGCTGGGACGACGCCGCGCCGACCTTTCATGCTCACCGCATTGGCCGCCTCGCGCCAAGTGGACGCGAGGGGCCCAGGTCCAAGAAGAGGGGAGGTGGGGGGAGGAGGAGGAGGAGGAGGAGGAGGAGGAGGAGGAGGAGGAGGAGGAGGAGAAGGAGGAGGAGGAGGAGGAGCAGGAGGAGCAGGAGGAGCAGGAGGAGGAGGAGGAGGAGGAGGAGGAGGAGGAGGGGCGAGACAGTCGCAGGGATATCAGGGTGATCAGGAGGGGGGGATGTGAATTGAGGACGAGGGGGAGGATCAGAAGGGGGCGGAGGAGCGGGAGGCAGATCAGGAGGCGGAGGCGGAGGAGGATTGAGAGTATGGATTTGGACGCCCAAAACGGGAATGGAGAACATGGGTACAATGTTGACAGCGAGTCCTGTTCAAGATGAGCAGGAACTGCTGTTGGGCATTGTACCCATTGTTTCCGTACCCATTTCGTTCGTGCCGAATGGAATCGATGAGCCGCGGGAGAAGCACAGTACGATGAGGAGGAGCATAAGGGATGAGATGGGCAATTCAGGAGGCGCGATGATGCAGGATGAATGGGTTGCGCTCGAAAGCTGTCTCGCATTGACGCCACGTCCGCTTACTTCGGTCCGCCCTGCTTGGCCGCATCCCGGCTCGCTCCAAGCAGGCCTAGCATAATCGGGGGCCCCCAAATTGGATGGTGACCACACCGTGCGGTGAGTCGGTAGGGGTTCAGGGTCACCGCACGGTTTTGGGACTCGGGTCGTTCTCCGAGGACGTCTCGGGCGACTGGGGCATCCGAGGTCCCAAGACCGTGCGGTGACGGACCGTGCGGTGAGGTCTTGGGGGATTTCGAGGTCACCGAGCGGTCTGTCACCGCACCGTTGCGGGACTCCAAAGATAAGGACAAATCGTTCCAGAGCGGTGGGGGATGCTCTCAGAGCGTTCTGGGGCGCTCCGAAACAGCCGTGGCGCCCGATAGATCCTCCGGACCCGCGGGTTCTCACAGGCTCCCAGCTTTTCCATCCGGATGTGTCTCAGGAGGAGGAAAACACACAGACACAATTAGCTGTCGATTCCCTAGAAAATATGGGAAAAGATGGGGAATCGTTTTATTTCTGTGCATTTGTTTGTGTGTCCAGGGGCCCCTTCAGTACCTTCATCTTGCGTCCTTCTCATCGTTCCATGTCCGCCCGCATCGAAGGAGCATTTCTCCGCCTCCCAGTCGCCCATTCCTCGCTGGCAGGTGCGCAGTAGCCCCGCCCCGCCCAGGAACGTCCGGATTCGCTATCGGAGGCACACTGGCTGAGCTATCGGTCATGTATAGCCGATTCCAGTTCGATGTTTCTACCCCTAAGTCAGTCCCACCTATCGTTGTCCCTCATGTCTGCTGCAAGCGAGACGTGGATATGCCCGATTCGCGTGCGCCCTGCCCACGATCGGACGTGTGAGGCTCTGCGCCACGGCTTGGGCGCGGAGGGGTGAAGCCGCCCCACCCTTCCAGGACTGCCGCCTGGCGCAGACGCCAGACATAAATATCGAGCTCGAAGGCCGCTTCCTTTCCCTTTGCCACAGGACCGCATGACTAGAGTATCGCATCTGTTGCCAGTGCTGCGAGAGCAGTCTCTTCCAAGAGCGCATGGATCCATCAATAGCACCACGATCGCATCTCGCTGGTCGACTCGAGCCCAGCATTGATTCAGTGTCGCCTCTCAGGGGACTCGGCATAGAATCAGTCAATTGAGACGCATGCGTAGGTGGAACCAGAGAGAAGATGAGAGGGTTTGGGAGGGAAGAAGGCTCGACGCGGCAGAAGTGAGAGGGCGAAACAGAGGGCAGGAGGTGACGGAGACAAAAGGGGGGGGGGGCAGTGAGGGAGGAGGATTTGCTCGTGCCTTCCTCGGCCGAATTTCTTCTCCTCCCCCTCCTCTTCGAGAGGAGAAGAGGGAGCAGGAGAGAACGGCATCTCTCTCCCGCCAGCACCGTTGAGACAATTGCGGCTACAGTTGCGGCTCTCCCGCCCGTCCCAGATCCAGTCAAAATCGGTTCCAGGATCCTCCCTCATTCTCCCTCCTCCTCCCTCCTCCCTCCTCCTCCCTCCTCCCTCCTCCTCCCTCCTGGGGACCATCTTGGCCCGTTTTCCGAGTCGGATCCAGCCCTGGCGGCGAGAAGTTTCCAGGAGGCCAAAAGAAGACGAGCAACGCGAGAGAGGGCCGCGTTTGCTTCGAGTGGGAGGCAGGAAGCGGGGGATGGTGACGAGGGCGAAGGAGGAGGATAATGAAGAGAGAGAGAGAGAGGAGGAGAGGGAGGAAGGTACAGTGCATCAGCGATGCTGAACCACACCTTCTGTCCCAAGTCTCCTCCCCGTGCGCCCCTGCAAACCGTCGCGTTCAGTAAAAGAAGCGCCCCCCCCGATCGATCGATCAGCACCGTCGGGCCTGCCATCCTGGGGAGGGTGCCACTGTCAAAAGGATGTGCTTTGCACCTCTCTGGCGCATACAGTCATCGTCCCGGCCTACGGAACGATGCATCAGGAACGAAGTCCTTTTTTTCTCCAGGGAAGAGCGCATGAGGAACGACATGCAATAGCTAGCGCATAAGGAACGATGCACACCGCATGCAAGCTTGAGGAACGACCGAGCTCCTTCTTGAAAAGTAGGTGCTCCTTACTCAAGCCGCTCACTGCAATCAGGAGCGCGACAAAACGATGAGCGTACAGTGCACCGAGGTGTCCAGCCAGCGATGTCCCCCTCCTTTCGCAGACGCGCCGCCCCACACCCATCCGTGCAACTGCTGCACCCAGTTTATACTCCCGCGGCCGTGAACTTCGAGGGCGTCTCGAGCGACAGCTCCGCTTCGAAAAGCGGAGGTTGATAGACCTCCTACCCTGACACGTCGATTAGCGACTTGGCCGCAGAGGGCGTCGCAGCCGCCATTTTTTCGGGTCCAGGTCCGTCAGTTTTGGTCTTAGGCCGTTTTCACTAAAGGGTGGTGTACTAAAGGGAGGTTTGTCCACCGCTGAGAAAAGAGCCGCGCCTTGGACCCGCGCAGAGCTGCATGCATTGCTCGGCCTAGTTTCAAGCGACACTTCCAACAAGAAGTTCTCACTGCGTTCGATGCGATCTTTTTGTTAAACACGACCAGCGCTCGAGCATTCAAAATGATGCAGGAGTCAACGACGAATGCTCGTGGCGCTGAGGCGAAAGCTCCACTTCGAAAAGGAACCATCGTTCCTCCTTGAAGTTGTCGCAGGCTTTCAGGACAAACGCTTAGGGCACCAAGGCGAGAGCCACATGTGGAAAATGAAGCGTCATCCATGCTTGAATCCCTTGCAACATGTTTTCAGGTGAACGTGCGCGGCGCTAAGGCTTCAACCACATTTTGAAAGCGGCCCGCCCTCCATTTCTGAAATTATTGCCACATTTTCAGACGAATGTGCGCGGAGCGATGGCGAGAGCTACATTTTGAAAACCACCCCCCTTCCATCCTTTTAGGCTGTTGCGAATTTCAAGCTTCAGAATGTATGTGGTCAGGGAGTCTCAGGCGAAACGCCCGACCCGCCCTGCCGACACGTCCGAGGGTGCGACAGGGAGGAGCTATTTACAAGGAAGGTGGAGGAAGGATGAGGAGGAGGACGAGGAGGAGGAGGGGGATCCTCTCCCCCTACTCCCTGCCCCGAGGCTTCAACCTCACGCTGCGCCCCGAGACCTACATGCGGCGGCTGCCGCTGCGCGGTGACGTCCACGTGGGCTCCGGCCCCAGGGCCGGCAGAGGCGGCAGCGAGGGGCCCCCCGCCACTCCTGGCGGAGGCGCGCCTGAGGACGGAGTCGTGCCGCGATTCTGCAGGCGGGGGGGCGGAGGAGGGTCGGGCGGGTCTGGGAAGCATGAAATAAGTTCCAGAGCGTTCTGGAACGCTCTCAGGGAGTTCCCGGACATTCTGAGAAGGCCGCGGCGCCCGATACATCCTCCTGCAGAGCCGGCGGACCTCAGAGATTCTCGATTCGGGAGCCTCGAGACGGGGGTCAATGCAAACGGGGGTCAGCCACGGCACCAGATCCTGCAGGATCTTGCGAAGACCCCTTCTGGCTGACCCGGGTTAGCGAGCCGTTCGTGGCCGCGAGGCGGGCGCACATATTGGCTGACCCGGGTTTGTGAAGACCTGCGTTGCAGTTTTTTTTCCTGCATTGCAGTGTTTGGTTTCCTGCTGACCCGGGTCTGGATTGACCCGGGTCAGAAGATCCCCGATCGATGTAACCTTCATCCGGATTCGTTCTCGTCCTGGCTTCGTCTTCGCGGGGCGCGCGGTCAGGCGACTCAGAGTTGGAGCCAGCTGTAGGGCTGGGGCGGCACAGTCAGAGAGGGGCGAGACAGGGCCCCCCTCGTCAGGACGGCTGGGCGCGGCTCGAAGGCTGGGCAGGTTCGACCCCGGGAGGTGTCCAGGGGCTGATGTTGGCCGGGTTTGCTTTCGCCCCCCAGAGGGCCAGATGGGGGCAGGTCTTTTGTCCGTCTTCCATATCCGTCAGAACGTTCCAAAAAAGGAGTCGTGCAGAGGCACAAATGTTTCATGTTTCTAGGATGTCCCATGTATCCTATTGTTCCGAACCGACCGCGCCACTAGATACTCTGGATATCCTGGAATGTATCCTGAGCCAATCTTATCATGATTTGATTCTCGCCGTAGTCATCTGGGGCGTCGTTGATCGCATTCGCACATGCGCGTGTCACGTGGCATCGCAATCGGAAGGTGTTGTGTCACGTGCGCTTGCAGTCTTCGCACGCCGCTGCTGGTTCAGCACATTGTCTTGTCGAGGCCCTTGAAGCCGAGACGTCGGCACTGCCGAAAAGAGGCACGAAGATGACCAAGCTTCGCGCCTCGCGGCCTGCGACGCAAGGGTGCAGTTCTCCAAGACGGCGGTTCGAGGGAGGTCGAGAGGGAGGGCGGGCTCGTCCTGTTGCCTGTTGCCTGTTGCCTGTCGGCCGCAGCGTCGTTCCGAAGGAGCCCTCTGGGCTCCTCTCCTCCTTCTCCTCCTCCTCCTCCTGCTCCTCCTGCTCCTCCTCCTCCTCCTCCTCCTCCTCCTCCTCCTCCTCCTCCTCCTCCTCCTCCTCCTCCTCCTCTCCCTTCTTCTCAGTGTAGCCAGAGTTGCGAGGCCAATTTAGTTTTTCCGTGATATACACGAGCCTCGGCAGCCCTGCGGCAGCGTTGGTTCCCACTGATATCGTTTGTGGCCCACACGGGGGCAACCATGCACCACCACCATCTCTGGCCAGGGCCATGTTGGGCCCGAAGATGGTGCTTCAGCGTCCCTGGTCGAGGTCAGGATGCCGTATGCATCATTCCAGAGCCTAGGGCAGTGGCTCTCGGGCCGTTGCCTCGATCGACTTGCCCACCCCCTCCAACAGGAGGCTGGGCGGGGGGGTGGGCGATGCGCGTCCTCCCCCCTTCCTCTATGGCAGGGAGGGTACGGCGCCTCAGGAGATCTTTGCTGGACATTCTGCCACGCCTCCGGTGTGCAGATGGGGCACGGCGGCGCAGGACCCCATGGTCCAGGGGGCAACGCTAGAGGTTCGGGGTTCGAGGTTTCTCGGACGTCTTCGTCGGTTCTCGGCGGCTTTCTGGCCTCGGGGTGCCTTCAGCGGCTGCGCCTCGCCGAGAGCGTTCCTCGGGGGCCAGATCCGACTGGCCGCGAGGAGGAGGAGGAGGAGGAGGACGGAGGAGGAGGAGGAGGAGGAGGAGCAGGGCGAGGAGGAAGAGGAGGAGGAGGAGGAAGAGGAGGAAGAGGAGGAAGAGGTGGAGGAGGAGGAGGAGGACGAGGAGGACCGTCGTTGCCGCCGCCGCCGCCGCCTCGTTTTGCTGCTTCGTCTGCTCCTCCTCCTTTTTCTCCGTCTCCTCTTCTCGCTCCAACGTCGTTGTCGCCGCCGCCGTCTCCTCCTCCTCTGCCTCCTTCCCTTTGGAGAGCTACCCTGGGCGTGCAGGCCGAGGCTGATGCCCGTGCGGCTTCCCGCGCCTGTCGGCCCCAACGTCTTCATCTTCGGGGAGCCGGTCGGACCCGCCAGGGGACGGTGGCGGCGGGGGCGGACGACGACGACGACGACGACGAGGACGACGACGACGACGACGACGACGACGACGACGACGACGACGACGACGACGACGACGTCGAGGACGACGACGGCGACGGCGACGGCGACGGCAACGGCGACGGTGACGGCGGCAGTGGCGGCAGCAGCTGCGGCGACGACGGCGTCGACGACGACGGCGGCGACAATGCCGACGACGAGGACGAGGACGAGGATGAGGACGGCGGCGGCGGCGACGACGACTAAGACGGCGACGACGGTGTAAACGCAAGCCCCTACCTCCTCGTGGCGCGCAAGAATCGCAGCGGAAGTTTTTTAGCCAATTTCGGTCTCCAGGAAACAAGTCTTTTTCTCGGTAAGCTGGGGCATTTCCTGGTAAACTGGGTTCTTCCCCGGTTAGACAACAACGCGGATGAGGATTCTTCGAGATTCTCAGAGATTCTCAGAGATTCTCAGACAATTTTTTTTTTTTTTATATATTCTGAGAGATCCTCAGAGATTCTCAGAGATTCTCAGTGACTCTGGAAGATTCTGAGAGATTCTCAGAGGTTCAGAGATTCTGAGAGATTCGAAAAGATTGTCAGAGATTTTGAAAAACTTTCAAAGATTTTCAGAGATTCTGAGAGATTCTCAAAGATTCCTGGAGTTTCTCAGATATTCCTAGGAACGATCGCCTGAGGTTTGCTCGTCGCCCCCAAAAAAACGCCTTCAATCCCAGCCAGAGACTATGCCCACCCGAGGAGCCGTGAGCACGGAAGCGTGGCCCCTTTTGTTTTTGCTGTTTCATTTTGCGTTTTTGCCCCCGGTTCCGTTCCATCCACGGTTCCTTCTGATCGAAGCACGCTTCCTGGGGCCAGAACTCAAAACAGGCCTCCAGGGGCCAAATGATGAAACGGGCCTCCAAGGGCCAGTGGGAGGGGGCAAAGGGGAGGAGGAGCAGGGGGGGAAGAAGAGGACGGGGGGGATACCGGGGAGGAGTACGGAGAAGAGGGCGGGGGGAAATGCCGAGGCGGAGGAGGAATAATGGGCGAATTGCACTCAAACTTGTACTGCTGCGACGACTACTACTACTACTACTACTACTACTACTACTACTACTACTACTACTACTACTACTACTACTACTACTACTACTACTACTACTACTACTACTACTACTACTACTACTACTACTACTACTACTACTACTACTACTACTACTACTACTACTACTACTACTACTACTACTACGACTTTCGAACTTCGACTACTACTACTACTACTACTACTACTACTACTACTACTACGACTACTACTACTACTACTACTACGACTACTACGCCACTAGCACTACTTCCACTACTTCCACTACTTCCACTACTATTACTACTGAGCTACTTGTACTATGGGGCTACTTCTACGAATTGCATTCAAACTTGTACTGATGTTTTTTACTAGTGCAACAGCAACACTACCTACTACTACTACTACTACTACTACTACTGCTACAACTACTACTACTACTGCTACAACTACTACTACTACTACTACTACTACTACTACTACTACTACTACTACTACTACTACTACTACTACTACTACTACTACTACTACTACTACTACTACTACTACTACTACTACTACTACTACTGCTGCTGCTGCTGCTGCTGCTGCTGCTGCTCGCTGCTGCTGCTGCCTGCTGCTGCTGCTGCTGCTGCTGCTGCTGCTGCTGCTGCTGCTGCTGCTGCTGCTGCTGCGCTGCTGCTGCCTGCTACTACTACTACTACTACTACTAACTACTACTACTACTACTACTACTATACTACTACTACTAACTACTACGACTACGACTACGACTACGACTACGACTACGACTACGACGACGACGACGACGACGACGACGACGACGACGACGACGACGACGACGACGACGACGACGACGACGACGACGACTACTACTACTACTACTACGACTACGACTACTACTACTTCTACTACTACTACTACTACTACTACCATTACGTTTACTATTACTACTATTACTTCTACGACTACTACTACTACAATCACAACAGCAACTACTACTCCTACTACTACTACTACTTCTACTACTAGTACTACCACTACTACTACTACTACTCCTACTACTACGACTAGTATCACTACTATTACTACTACTACTACTACTACGACTATCAGGACTACGACGATCACGGTTGCGACGATTCTTGCTGTTGATTCTACTATGGTTACTATTGCTACTACTGCTACTACTGCTACTGTTATGACTACTGTTATTATTATGTTTACGATTATGATTACCATTACTACTACCACTACTACGACGACTACTACTACTACTACTACTACTACCACTACTACTACTACTATTACTACTACTACTACTACGATTACTATTACTACTACTACTACGATCGCTACTACTCCCATTGCTCCTGCGATTACTAGTACTACTACTACGATTGCTACTTCTACGCTTTGGCTTTGATAGGAAGTGTTCTATTTGGAAGCCAATAGGAATTGCAATATAAAGACCTCTTAAGAACAATATAAACCCAATACAGAATTCCCAATACAGAATTCCCAAACGAACCCATACAGAATTCCCAAATATCTTCCTTGCGAAATTCACCAGGAATTGCATTACTTCTTTGAAAACGTAAAAGAGACCAATAGGAAACCACAGACCCGGCCGTACGCGAAGTTGGAAATACACCAATCCCGAATGAGGTTTCCATAGACTGATATTGACGGCCCAGCCAAAGTACCGGCCATAAATGCGCGGGAACTTCTGCCAAGCTCTGCTGAGCCTTGCGCAGCCCCGTGAAGGCCTGCGAGGCTCTGCTCCAGTCTGCTAAGCCCTGCTAAGTCCTGCTGACACCTGCTGAGCTCCGGTAAGCCCTGCTATAAGCGTTGGTACGCCCTGGTAAGCCCTGCTACGCCCTGCAAGCTCTGGTAAGCCATGCTTCGCCCCGCTGCGCTCTGCTCAGCTTTGCTAAACAGGGCGAAGCCCTGCTGGCCATTGATGCGCTGTGCGTGGTGTGTTGTGCGTTGTGTGTAGTTTTGGTTGTGGTGTGGTGTGTTGGGTGTGTTGTGTGTGGTGTGTTGTGTGTGTGTTGTGTGAAATGTGTGTGTGTGTTGTGTGTGTGTGTTGTGTGTGCGTGTTGTGTTGTGTGTGTGTTATGTGTGTGTGTGTGTGTTGTGTTGCGTGTTGCGTTCTCAGGAGCCTCTCGGCTACCAAAGCCTCTCGGACGCTTTCAGAAAAAGGGGTCTCGGGAAATCTCAGAGGCCTTTCGGACGATTTCAGAGGCTTCCCGGGAAATCTCAGAGGCCTCACGGGAGCTCCCAGGGATCTTGCGGAGATGGCTCGGGACGTCTCATATATTTCTTTGGGAGTATATAGAAGACTCTTTGGGAACTCTCACGCCTTTTTGAGTGTTGTTAGGGTCTCTTGGTAATTTGCAGAGACCATTGGGAAGCTCTCAGAGGCATGTCGGGGTGTTTCAACAGCCTTTCGGGAGCTTTGAGAAACCTCATCAGGGATTCTTAGGGCCTCTTAGAGGCTCGCATCGGCTTGTCGGCAACTTTCAGTGGCCTCGCGGCAGACCTCCTGAGCCTTTTCGAAACGGCTTAGAAGCCCTTCGGAGGCCCTCGGAAACCTTCGGAGGCCCTCCTAAGCCTTCGGAAGTTCCCAGAAGTCTTAAGGACATGTTCAGGTTTCAACGAATTTTAGGGAGTCTTGAGGATTCCTCAGAGGCGGTCCGGATTATGTAGGGTTTCCCTTGGATTTTTCGGGCGTCGTTGAACATCGCGTGGCGCATATGAATTTGGCCATAAACCGTGTGCGAATTTCTAGTAGCTTGTATTCGGTTTCCATGTGCCAGTGTTGCTGGCCTCGCACAGTTACACGCCGGGAATAGGAGGGACGATTCCAGCCATAATAAACATGGGGCCTTACCATTATTTTTATTATTACTACTACTGTTAGTTTTAATACAACATTTATTACTACTACGACGACGACGACTACTACTACTACTACTACTACTACGACTACTACTACTACTACTACTACTACTACTACTACTACTACGACTACGACTACTACTACGAGTATTACTACTATGACTATCACTACTACTACTACTACTACTACTACTACTACTACTACTATTACTACTACTAGTACTATTACTATTACTACCACTACTACTAGGACTACGACTACGACTGCTACTACTACTACTACGACTGCTACTACTACTACTACTACTACTGCTGCTACTACTGCTACTACTACTACTACTACTACTACTGCCACTATCACTACCACTACTACTACTACTACTACTACTACTACTACGAGTACTAGTACTACTTTTATTACTACCACTACTACTACTACCACTACTACTACTACTAATACTACTACTACTACTATTTTTACGACTGCTTCTAGTACTCTTACTACTACTACTACTACTACTACTACTACTACGACTACTACTACTACTACTACTACTACTACTACTATTACTACCACTAGAACCTGTATTATCATTACTACCACTGTTACCACTACTTCTGTTACTACTACTACTACCACCACCATTACTACTACTACTACTACTACTACTACTACTACTACTACTACTACTACTACTATTACTGCTACCACTACTACTACTACTACTACTACTACTACTACTACTACTACTACTACGACTACTACTACCACTAGTACGATTAGTTTCACCACCGCGACTACTAGTACAACTTCGATTACTGCTGCTACTGCTACTACTACTATCACTACTACTGCTACTACTACTACTACTACTACTACGGATACTACGACGACTACTACTACTACTGCTACTACATCGGTTACTACTACTACTACTACTACGACTACCAGTGCTACTACTATTACCAAGACCACTGGAACAACAACTACTACTA